CTAAATTTGTATATAGGAAAGAATAGGAAAGAAAAAAAGCTCTCTTTTTTGAACGTGTTCATTTATTTTGACTATTTTATCATATTAATTTCTACTCTACCTCCCCGGAGTTCATTCTCCGGGGAACTCCATTTAAATTATTCCGACTTCTAACATTTTTGATATAATTACACTCCCTTTTTTAAGAAATTAAATAAATAAATAAATAAGGCGTTTGGATGTCGAATGGGAACATTGTCAACAGTTCAGCAAAGTTCAAGCAAGTAGAGAATATTGAGATAAATCAAAAAAGTTTGGGCATAAGCGTCTTGTAATAAAACTAGTTATGAACCTTGTAAGCTCTAATAAAACTAGTTATGAACCTTGCAAGCTCTAAATGCATCCCAATTTTTTGGTTGGGCACTCCCAATTCTTTAGATACCCCAATCAAAATTTGGAATCTTTTTTTATTGGATAAATTACAAACACACTCTCTGATATTTATTTAAATTATAAACTATCTCTGTAGTTTTAGAAATTACATGTCCTTTAAGGTTTTTAATTTCATAACAAATAGACATTTTTATTAATAAACCTTCAAGTTAATTAACAATTTTTAATAATGTTAAAATTTTATTTCAATTAATAATTCAAATAATTTTATAATTATATAGGTGAACAGTTAAAAATTTCACTTTTTCAATTAATTCTGTTAAATAAAAAATTCTGACAAAGATGTATTTATAATTTTCTAAACTACAGGAGACAATTCGTATTTTAAGCAAATCTCAAAAGATGTATTTATAATTTATCCTTTTTATATTTGTTGAACACCTTGCGTCATTCCAATTTTATCCCTATTCATCAATTAATTGCCAGAGTCATCTTCGCCACCGGAGCCACCTCGCTGGCCAGTCCTCATCCTTCTCTAATGCCGATCCATCGCCATCACCATCGCAGAGAGAGAGAGAACCACACCATGTAAACCATCCCACTGCATTGGGGTAGTGAAGAGGACCCGATTGGAAGAGGAAACAAAAATCACAACTTCTCGGGATTATTTTGTACTTGGAATAAAAAAAGTGAAAAAAAGAATAACTATAAGAATAATTTGATTCTTCGTGGCAAAGTAATAAAAGTGAAAATAGAATTTCTCACTTCGTAAAGCCATTGTACCTTAATGTCATATTTGATTCCATAAGAGTAATAGTGAGGTATTAATAATCCTATTAAATTAGTGTGGTATTTACAATCTCACCCCTACCCCATTACTAATAATCCTATAAATTTGTTGGATTAATTATCTATTGAATTAATAATCCTAAAATAAAATGTCAAAACAAACATGAGATAATTGAGCCTACGGATTAATAATCTCAATCTCATACTCTAATCCTTCCGATCAAACATTCTGCATGAGATAATTGAGCCTACGGATTAATAATCTCAATCTCATACTCTAATCCTTCCGATCAAACATTCTGAGGAGTGCCAGTATAATTTATCCAAAATGACAACACATGTTTGCATGGCTGGTTGCGTGTCAAATGGAAAGTCCAGGAACTATTCTAGTGTACAGTGAAATACACCCTAATGTTGAAAATGCCAACTAATTGATTAGAAAATGTCAACTTGCTAGACAAAAGTCCAAATTATAACCCTAAATTGTGATTTCATCTCAAATGTAGTTTCTAAAATAAAACAAATGGTGAACCAAAATAAATGATGTAATTCTTCATTCAAAATATAACAATAATACTATCATTATTTCATATATTAGCATATTTTCATTCAATAACACATTCATTTTGAGATTGATGTAATATTCTAACAATAAAAATTAAAATGATACAATGATGAATTACCTTTTTACCTTGTTTGAAGCTAGTCGTGTTAATTTTTTTTTATACAAGGGAAAAAAATTCAATTGATGTCTGACAAACAAAACATAAAAATTCTTATCATTAAAGTTGCAATTTCACCTAAACTTTCGATTTGAAGTTGCGATTTGAAAAAGTGGTCTACAATTTCAAAGTTGCGATATTGTTATATATAATTATTTAAAATATAATTTTTCGTTGAAAGTTCCTTTGAAAATGTCATAAACACAGTTCATTTTTTTCCCCAATGGGTAATTACACCCTAGTAAAATATTGAAAAAATAATTACATATTCATAAAATTTTAAAAAAAATTATAATTTTAATTTTAATATTTATAAAAAATTTCATTCATTTGTAATTATTTTTTTTTTAAATCCACTTATATGACATTTTTTTTTTGTTCTTACCCCTTTTTTTTATTGTTCATGCATATTTATTTAAAGGGAGAGACAACGTGATTGGATTTTTAATTTTTTTTATAGAGAAAATATATTTTCACGTTAGTTTGAGATAATATTTCAAAATTTTCTATTATTACTCAATATATAAAGAGATATTTAGTCTAATATCTCTCTCCAACTTTTAATAATGAGATAAGCCCACAATATTTTTTTTTTGTAACCTAAGGTCCCTCTCCCACACCCATATATCACAACCATTCTCTCATTCTCTCTCATCTCTGTCACGACTCAAACCAGTCTGTATAGATTTAGCGATGTAAATGGCCAGTACTCCGAGATTACCAAAGGTCTGCTTAACAATAATACAGTAATCGGGCTGGTGGAAGCTAATCAATAAAAAAATAAAACGTCTATTAAGCTGTGAAGACTTAAATGAGACCAAAGACCTTTTATATATACCCATATGTACATGAGTCCATAACAAGCTTAAATCTCAAAACATACAACATTGTTTCAACTAACAAAAGATACACAAAAGTCAAGAAAACATTCATATCATTAGAGCCAATCTCAAAATGGTTGGTCCCGAACCCTCCCAAGCCTTGACGCTTGACCGGTAGAAACCTCACGGTGAGACACAAAAGTTGACTTGACAAAACAGAGGCTAGGTCGACACCACTACGTCCCCTCTTGCACTTGATCACCTAGAGATATATATATATATATATATAAGCACTAGAGATGACAACAGGTAGGGTATGAATTGGGTTGGTTCGGGGTTTGAACCACTAGAGATGGCAACAGGTAAGTTATCAATTGGGGCCGCCCTTACCCCACCCCCATTTCCACCGCTTGCCCCCTCCCCTCCCCAGCGACATATGTAAAAAATTGTTACAAAAAAGTTATTTTTAGCAATAATTTTATCAAAATTTATTTTCAATAAAACTTGATGAGAATTAAGTCTAACTATTAGGATCTATTGATAATTTACTCTAAATTTTCTATTAGATATGTAGTTTGGCAGCGGATTTTCGACTACAAAACACGCAGAAGGTAAATTAATCACATAAGTAATAAGGTAAAATATTACACATATATTATAATTATTATATATATATATATAACATAATAGAAACTCAATAATACATTATATAAATATTATATATATTCTATAAAAATTCAACAATATAATATGTATATATATTATATGTAATATTATTATTTATTTATTACTATTTGCTGGTCAGGTAAAGTTTGAGTAAAAAATACTCTCTCCCGTTCGCGACCTGAACCCAATCGGGTTTTTTAAAAGTTTTTCTAAACCCGACTCTACCTTCTTCAACCACCCCTAAACCCATCCCAATAGAGTTGGAGAGAGTCGGGAACCTGATAGATTGGGTTATTTTTCCATCCCTATGAACCACGGTTTCACTATATTAAAAATAAACAAATCAATCAACAATAAATAATTAAAATAAACAAATCTTTAACATTTAAACATAACAAAACTAAAGCAAAATATTATTTAATGCAAGTCCATACAAATTAAATCTAACTGAAACTATATATAATCAAAACAAATTAAATCCATTAATACAATCAATACAAATTAAATCAATTGCAAAATTTAACTCAAACTTCTAGTACTTCCATTTTTTATTTTTTATTTTTGTACAAATTCTAGTACTTCTTTCGTTTACATGATAATTCTTATATATGAAAAATTATTAGGCGTAATCAAATTCATTGTAATGGCACAATAAGGTAAAACCATATCAATATAAATATAAATTTAAATTTAAAATATATATATATATGTTCTATTCTTACGGTTAGTTCTGTTTAGGCAAAGCCTAAACTAAAAAGCAACCCAATCCTATCAGTTTGATAATTTAAAGACCTAAAACCAAACCAACCCAACCCAACTCAAAGAGATCGGTTTGGTTCGGTTGGATTTTGCAATTCATTAGACAATTTTAACACCCCTAATTAGGTCCCAAACCCAATCCACAACAATGGTAGTAGAATTTTGCAACACGGATACAACACATTGTCCAAAGATTTGTGCACCCCTGAATGTCGAACCCGGACAACTGGCGTAAGAAGGGTGAAAAAAGCCCGAAATACCATTGGACCACCACCTCCGATTGTTGCTCAACTTCACTTCAAAGAGTCAAATTTAAATTGTTTAATTTTTCAATAAAGTTTTGCAGTGTTTCCTAACCTATCAACACAAATTTGGAATCAACTCTCAGAATTTTACTCTCTTTTTTCCAAAAAAAACAAAAAACTATAAACTCAACTCAAATAAATTACACCGAACAATGCCCATTGTGCAGGTAGCTTGAATGCTATTTTACTATAGTTTGTGGAGGTAGCTTGAATGCTATTTTACTATAGTTCAAATTCAATCAGTTAATTATGTAATTTACCAACATGTCTTACTGTGGCAAAAGAACACAACATATTGTAGAAAAACCAAGATAGAAGATTCTTATCGATGTTGAGGTAGCAATGCAGTCAAAAAAGTTTTGAGCGGCAATACTAACTCCCACACAGAAAAGGGGAGATAGACACATGAATTATGTAGACAAAAGGCAATCCTCCTTGAGGGACCTGGAGGGAGATTGGGGTTTCAAATATCAAAATACATGGCCTAATCCTCCGGGATGGTCGTCTAGCCAACTCCACTGGTTCTTATACATGGGTAGAAGAGCATAGACACCAAAGTGGCGAAGTGGGAAAGCAAAAAATAATAAGTCACTTTTTTTTATATTTTATTTAGGTCATTCCTTAACTCACAGGAAACATCCACACCCAGAATTACATGATCATTTTGCTAGATAAGGGAAGTTGATCCAAACCAAAAACAACATACGACAAAAGTACGAGGAGCCTACAGCTACCAAAGTTCACTGTGGAAGGGTAAACTCGTCATTCAAGCCATGCCTCCACTTGTTGCTGTCCGGATTATCTGAAATAAAGCTGGCACAAAGGAAAAGTATCAACTGAAATCAATAAACAGTAAACCCTCAAACCACATAAACCCAAATTGTTAGTTGAACAAGACACTTCCATGCTTGTTTATTTAAATAATGCTAAAGAGAAACACCACGAAGAACAACATATTGGCAAAGTGACAGATGAAGATTTTGTACCAACACAGTTTAACTATCCTTACAATCCCCTTGTCCAAAAAAGTAGATTACACATTGAAATTTCTAAGTATCATAAAGGCATAAGCATAGTGAATTGTGCACACAAAGGTGAATGTAGAATGTTTTCCACAGAGAGAGAGAGAGAGAGAGAGAGATTATACATCAGAACAATCATTCTTTCATGTACTAAGCTTTTTAATTACTTTCTTATTTTCTCAAGAGCCTCCTCAGGCTTACTCTTTTTTAATTTCCTTCAGTCACTTTTATCCAATGCAAGTAATTTGTGGGTCATTGCATCCAGCATAGGAATTTATCTCAATTCTGAGCAATTAAATGACACCTTGACATAGCCAACTGCATACATGCATATTTTCTCAACAGCCACTAGAATCCTGGGGCTTAGTCTTAGGGCAGAAGGCAAGAGCACGTCAATTGGTGTTGAATGTGCAAACATGATGAGAAGAATGTGATTCTTCTTCTAATTCATTACGAGGTGGCTTAGGAGTTATGGTCCTCGACTTTTTTCTTGTTTGGATGGCATTGGGTGGTCCCTAGATGTGGGTGAATTTCTTTATTCTTGGAAAGGTGCCTGCCCATGTAGGGGGGAGGAGTGCATGGTGCCTAGTCTGTTTGGCAAATCTTGTGGATTCTGTAGGAAAATGATGTTTGAGGGTAGAAAAAAATCAATTTCAAGTTTGAAGATTTTATTTTAGTCTATTTGTATAGTTCTATGAAGCATGGACACGCCAAAATGGAAGCCGTGGCGGTGTCGGATACAGGGACACGGGGATACGTGTAGAACACTCCAGATGATGTGTCCCCTTAATTTAATTTATTTTTTTGCAAGGGACACTGTGGAGACACAGCGGGGACACGGGTGTCCAAATGTGGACATGCCATGGGACACGGTCGGCGAGAAGAGTAAACGAAAGAGAAAAGGAGTACAAACCGGTCGGCAACTTCAATTTGGACGACTTCCACCGTAAGCCTCGCTCTCTCTCTTGCTCTCTCATGACTTCGATCTCGAGCCAATCGACCTCCATCCAGTCCATTTCGACTAGCGATAGCCCTTTGACTTCGACAATCCAGTCCACTTCGACTAGCTATAGCCCCCTTCAACTTCAATGATCCAAAGCCCTTCGACTTCTCAGAGCTCTCTCTCTCGCCTTCGCCTTTTCAGAGCTCTCTCTCTCTCTCGCTCGCCTTCTCTCTCTCGCTCGCGATCGCGATCGACCTCGCTTCTGTCTCCCTCTCTCTCTCTCATATCGTCTATCTTCTTGATTCATATATATGTATATATATAACTATTATATAATATTTATTATATAACATATAATATACTTATAAGATAATATATACTTATACATATTAATAATAAAAAAAATAAACACATATATGTAAAATAAAATAAAAAAATTAACTGGAACACATTATTTAAAAATATAATAAATAAATAAAATAATTAATGTGTATTAAAATAAAAATATTTATAACAAAATTAAAAAATTTGCCGTGTCCCCTTCCGTGTCTGTATCCCCATTTTTTAGAAATTGTCGTGTCCCGTGTCCGTGTCCGTATGCGTGTCCGTGTCCGTGCTTCATAAGTATAGTTGGTCTATGGGGGTGGTTAACCAATCCTTGAATCAATTTTTGGGCTTTGTAGAGATCTTTAAATAGGTTTTTAGTGTGTAGTTGATCTATCATTTCCTCTTGTCAACAAAATTAGAAACGTATAAGGATTTTGTGTGCTTTGTAAGCATTCCATCACTCATTATCACCTCCTTAGTGCTTTCTTTTTATAATACTTACTTTTACTTTATTGTCCAAAAAAGAGAGAGAGAGAGAGAGAGAGAGAGAGAGAACAAAATTACAATAAAAAACAATAGTATAGTTTAATAAAGAAAGAAACTCACAAGATCCAATGACAACAAATATGAAGAACCCAAGCACAATAGGCCCCACTGGATAAGAACTTCCTTTCTTTGTTGTTGTTTCAGCCACTGCCCCCCTCTTCTTGATGTTCTTCTCAAATCTCTCCACCTTCCTATCAGCAAGTCGCCTTGAGGTTGTCTAGAGATGTAGCAAACAACATAAAACAAACTTGTTAGAGAGAGAGAGAGAGAGACAGAGAGAGAGAGAGAGAGAGGAATAGAAGAGGCAATAATTGACACAAGTGAAAATTTTGAAAGCATTCCAAATGAATGAGGAAATACTATTTATTACCTAAGGTTATCATTGCTACATTGTCTTGGGTAAAACTCAACCCCAAAAACTAAGTTTTAAGCACTTTTTTGCACTGACCCTCTAGAAAAAAAAGCTATGGGAATGAATTCTTTTGTTGTGAATTCTTACCCCAATCACTCTAGTCTGTCGTTCGCCATTTTTTAAATACACAACAATATCAAGAAACAAAATGTTCTTCTTGACAACATGTTATGGGAATACAATTCTTAGTGATCACAAGAGTCTCTCTCATTCATTATTTTTAAATATACAAGAAGATCAAGAAACAAAATGTTCTTCTTGCTCTTGAGTTGAGATAAAAATTAGATAAACTAACTAATTCAATGAGACAGGAATAACAGCCAGTTGATTGTACCACTGCAATCGTCAAATGGAAGGAAGCCAACCCAACAAGCACAGCTACAAAAGACCAACATAATTTGTCCAAAATGAAAATCAGCGACGAAATTATTAATTTGGTGAAGTACAACATCCCCATTGTTGTAATCTAGAGAATTTATGTTCTTCTTTTACACCTCAAGTTAACACTACTATCCTTTTTCATCATTAAAAAAATCACTGGATCTATGTGACAAGGTAACATAGCATATCGAACATATCTTTTTGGGTAACATATCATATCGAACATATTCAATTGAAGCAAATTTAACAGACTGATGTACAGTCTCTTCAAATCCAGTAGTGTCATAAAACTCCTTAAGAAAAACTAAATGAGAAACAAAGCATCAATTGCCAGCTCGAACGGTAACTCCTGCAACCCCTAAATTGGGAGGTCCTAGGTTCAAGTCCCCGTCGAGGCATGAGCTTATCATGACTTAATAAAATACCCTAATCATATACAACTCTTTCATATTAGCAATTGGAATAAAAATAAAAATAAAGCCAATATACCAAAGAAATGTCAAATTTTAATGTGGAAAACTGAGCATGTGTTGACCTTTGACTAGAATATTAGGCTTCCCTGTCAGTAAGTCAAAGTAGCCATATTAAAAATAGCCATAACAGTTTCAGATGTTGGCCATGAGAGAGAGAGTGAGAGAGAGAGACCAGAACTAAATGAAAACTGCCTTTGCAAGAAAAAAGCAGATAGCGTGTCATTTCGGTTGCAAGCTGTTGCTAGTCACTCAGCTTTATGAATAACATAGGATTGAATAGCACAAACAATTAAGTCACTATGAAAGAAATCCTTTCAGGAAAATAGTTATTCACTCAATGATAATCCAATTCTTCATCTTTTTCACGGGTTGATGATGTACATTCATCACAACATACCAAAAGCACAAAATTTTCATTTAATCCTAACCGTGCATTTTCAGTTGTCCCCCTGTTCTGACATCTAATGTCTCTTGGCTGCAACAATCATCATCTTACAGTCTCATTTTTTGCCCAAAAATCCAACCCAATTTTCTTTTCTTTTTCTTTTAGATGAACATGGAACATTTTGAAACTTGAATTTATTAGCTACCTCGCGCATTCAACATTCATTGGAACTTGCTGAACTGAATTCATAGAAAATGCACTCCGAATCACATATTGTTACGAACACTTTTTGAAATAAATTAAATTAAATAAAAGAGAGAACATGACAAAGAGATAGAGAAAATCCACTTTGAGGGAAGGCCTCCAGTTGGCTTCCATTGAGAAAAATCAGACCTCCTTAACTTCACAGAAGTTAATACATTAAAATATATTCAACATATTTTTATTCATCAACCAACATTGTATATATACAGGAGACTTGTAACTAACACAATCCACAACCCTAAAAATTAGGAAAACAGCATAATCCACCCTACCCATAACTATACCACTACCTAAATTCTAATAATTAATTAATTGAATATATAATATTTATTTATGAAATTTTGTATGTAACAACTAACAAGTTCACTTGTTTAAACTTCATAATCTATGCTATATATAAAGCAAATACCAGAAGATTTTTTTCACCTCAAAAATACCCACAAGAGCCCATATAACAGTAATTATGCCATTATTCAGTTAGAGCAGCTCCAACTGAAGTGCCAAATCCTATGTGGCACAACAACTCAATTTTGACATAAAGAATGAAGTCCACCCAATATGCCAAATGTTGAGTTGGCATTTAGCATGAAGTCAACATGTCAAATTTGACATCCTCTAGATTGCTGCCCCAACGATAAGATTGAGCTAGCTGTCAATTTTTTTAGTCCCAATATGCCAAATTTTTTTTAAAAATAACAGAATAATAGATTTGACATATTGGGTGGAGACTTCTATGACAAATTGGCATATGCCAATTTGCCACCCAAGCCTTTCAAAAAAAAAAATTGACACTAAAATTTGAAGGTTTGGGTGGAGATCCCAGATTCAGTTTTTTTATTTTATTTATTTTTTTGTTTTAAGCTTTTGATCTTTTCAAATTCATGAAATGTTTCAGATTCTGATTTCAAGCATACATTTTCACAATCTTATTCCGGTGAAAAAAAACGATCTTATGCATACACATCGTGTGTCACCATTTCTAGTATATTTTTTAATTCAATGGGCAAATCAGCAATAACCAGCTACAAGTCACAATCAAACGTCAGTCTCTTCAGAAAAGTATTGATCATATCAAATGCATTTAGTTATTGATTATCATTATGGTTTCATCAATTGAACAAGCAAACGAAAACACGGTTCAACAAATCATCAAATTTTGCCAACACGCAAGAAAATAAAAGGAATTGACACAGATCTAATAAATCTAGCTCTAAGCACGATCATTGAGAACCAGATCAGGTATGCAGACCAGAATTTAACATAAATAAATATAAAAATTAAATAAAACAGCATGGACATCGGCGAAAATTGATAAGAGATGAGGGATACTTTCTCAGGAAAAAGAAAATTGGAATTCAACTAGGAAGCTCGAGAAAAGAAAGAAGAGAGAGAGAGAGAGAGAGAGAGAGGAGGTTACCATGGTTGAAGGGCGAGATCTGCAGGAGGTAGCTGGAGAGAGAATTTAGGGACGATGAACGGAGGAGGGCTTTATTTCTTCGGCGTTACTTGCTAGACGGAAACGCGTCCAATTTGCAGATTTATCTCATACACCCACCCACGACACGTGTCTTTTTTCAGTATCTTTTAGAGTAACTAGCGGTTGGGACACACGATGTGTGTGCAAATTAAATAAATAGGCATAAAAGAAAATAATAATGAAATTAATATTATAATGTGTACTTAGCTTAAGTGGTATGAGTCCTCATACTTAAATCCATGGTCATGGGTTCCTTGCCCATCTCTTTGTTTAACTTTTTTTAAAAAAATAAAAAACACTGCCATTTTTTTAAAAAAATAAAAAACACTGCCATTTTTTTAAAAAAATAAAAAACACTGCCACATGGCATGAGGAAAGTGAAGCAAGTTTCAGGACACCATATTATGTGTTCACTTTATAATAGTATAGATAGATAGATAGATACATGAGGACCATTTTTTTTAAAAAATAAAAAACACTGCCACATGGCATGAGGAGAGTGAAGCAAGCTTCAGGACACCATATTATGTGTTCACTTTATAATAGTATAGAAGATAGATAGATAGATACATGAGGAGAGTGAAGCAAGCTTCAGGACACCATATTATGTGTTCACTTTATAATAGTATAGATAGATAGATAGATGTTCTGGACTCCAAAAATTCTATAAAAATAGGGTGCGCGCGGTTCGAATTTAACGGTTTGCGGATCGATGTAACCCGTTCACATTTATGTAATTTGACAAAAAATCAACTCGCAATTGTTTGCAGTGGTTTTGTGGTTTGTGCAGATAGAATTCGCACATGTGCGAATGGTTGTGAGCGATTTACGGATTGAATTTTTTTTAAAAAAAATTTATTTTTGAGTCTTTTTTTTTTTCTCATTTTGTAAATATTTATTTTGAGTCATTTTTTTCCATTTTCTAAAATATTCCAATATTAAAATAAATTAAAACTTATAAAATTAAAAATACAACAAAATCAATTTGTAACACAAATAAATCATTCAAAATCCTCAATCAAATCATAAACTAACACAAATACATATTTCAAAATCTTAAACTAGATCATCACTCTTATTCACTATCTACTATCCAGCAATATAATTAAAGTAAAATCATTCACAATCATAGGCATTTTGTTTTGGGCAAAAATATTTAGGTAGAATATAGGAATGAAATCAATGACTATGATTTTAGACTACGATTAAAAAAAAAAAAAAAAACAAAAACAAAAGAAAGAAAGAAAGTGCTGGCGGTTTCTTGCTGGTGCGAATTAAACTCACAACATGCCCGTAACCTACAAACATGTCATATTCTAAACCGCATCCGCCCGCATTGTATTTGTGAAATTGCCCATTTGTATGCTGGTTGGGCAGGTTTTGCAGGCTGAATAAACCGTTATCCACCCCTAACCAAATTTCTACCAAGTGTCTCACATAGCATTTTTTATTTTTTATTTGCATCGAAACACCCTAATTTAATGATATATTTTTTTATTACTATTAAATTCGTATTTAAAATGATAAAAAGTATTTAATTTTGAAAAAAATATAAATAAAAATATTTTGAATACCTTATTCATCATCATCATCTCAATATTCTTTTTCTCTCTTCTCTTTCTATTTTCATCACTTTATATCTTCATACCTAACTCTAACACTACTCTATTTATTTTAATCCATCTTTGTTACATTATATTTGTCACGACCCAAACTCGTCCCTATGGGTTTAGCACCGTAACCGGCCAGTAATCCAAGGTTATCGAAGCCCTGCTTAACAGTAGAACAGTAATACAGAGTACAGGGGCTGGTGGAAGCCAATACAGTAATTAAAGTTGTCCAATGAGCTGTGACAGTCTATATGCAAAAGACTTTTCATACATGTATACAGTCAGTACCAAACAGTATGCACAATATTTACAATCTTTCAGGACGGGGACTTAATCCCTATGTAAACAATACAGTTCAAAAACATTCAGTCCATACAGTATTACAGAACAGTGACAGTTGGGTGAAACTAAGACACCCCAAAAGCAACCTAAGCTTGATCACACTTGGAACCTCGCAGTGGGGCACAATGGTTGGCTGACAAAACAAGAGCCTGCCTGACGCCCTTAGCAACGGTCCGATGCCTGAACATTTACATATATATATCTGAGCAGTGAGCTAAAGTCCAGTGAATAACATATGCGTAAAGAGGTTAAGAATGAATGTCTTTTCAGTATTGAAAGCAGTTAATTAAACAGTATATCAGTTATTCAGTTTATGGCTCATATTTCATGCCAACAGTCATTCAGAAACTAAAATAGTCATATGTGGTACATCCAATAGCAAAACAATGCAGTAGGTCTTATAGACCGAACAGTCAGTTGATGGTCATCATATCAGTAAACAGTAGTGGTTCCCACATGGAAACCGACAGAGATCTCTGTAACAGTAGCAGTACAGTACAGTACAGTAACAGTAGGTTTGCTATGGATGCCACGAATACAGTTCACAAATAGGATATCATTCATTCAATAACAGTATTATTTCAGAAAACAGTACAGTTCAGTTGTTCAGAAGATAATCATTATTGAATATATCTTTACAACATTGTTACTCACAGAGTTCTGGCCTACAGATAAGCTAGAGCGTCTCCGGAATGCCAACCCTACACAGTTATAGATTGAGCACACACTAAGCTACACAGTTAGGAAAAATAATAACTTAATCCCTAGTTTGCCTCGGTGTGGTTCTACATCAATATCCTCATTAAGATGCCTTAAACTAGGCCTAGGAATGCCTAGAATGAAATGAAGATGCAAAGATGCGCTTAGAAACATTTTCAGAATTTTCAGAAAGCAGAGGTCCCGCTCGAGCGTGAATATCTCCGCTCGAGCGGACATGCAACAAAAGGGTTCCGCTCGAGCGTATAATTCCTCGCTCGAGCGGACTGTAAAACAGTCAAAAGTGCTGGATGTGTGAAAATCACGCTCGATAGGCACCTACACCCGCTCGAGCGTGAGACACAAAATCCCGCTCGAGCGTCCAATACCCCGCTCGAGCGGACTGCAAACACAACTAAAGTGCTGGATGCACAAATTTCACACTCAAGCGCCAGTCACTCTGCTTGAGCGTGAGTCCAAAATCTGGAATTCTCAGATTTGAACCTCAAGTTCAAAATCAACTTCAAATGTATCAAATTCGATCTTTTTGGGCTAATTTTCTAGAAAACACTTTAAAACTCATAACATTACATGTTTCAAAGATCCATTTGAGAAATCGAAGCCCAAAGGTAGTTCAATTAAACCTAATTTCATGAACACGACCTCAATGCAACATGCATGAGTTAAATCAACTTTAAAGCTTCAAATACATGCTTAAGTGAGTCAATTTCTTCAAAGACAAGATGAATTCATGGATTTTAACACAAACATGAACTTGCATGCAAGATTCCCATGAAATCCAACCTCCAAACTCAACAATGTAAACATGCATACATGATTTGAGCTACAATACAATATACTGGAGCTAATTCTAGACTTAGCTCTCTAAACTACCATGATCCATGTTAGATACAACTTAGATACACAACTAAGAGAGTGATTTCTCTACCTTATGCCTTCAATTCAAGTGTAGAAGCACAAATATGGGAAAATCCCTTCAATTTCTCTCAATCTCCAAGCCAATTCTCAAGAACTCAAGATTTTCTCCTACCCTCTCTCTCTCTAGCCAGTTGTGACTCTCAAAATGGGCTGATGAAGTGTGTAGTCAAAAGTGTATGAAGTGGAGAGGAGGTGCCTAGATTAATCCACTATGTGGCAAATTGGTAAATAGGGTCAACTCTTGCAATCTAGCTTATTTTAATCTAATTTAATCATACCAAATCGCATTTTAAATAAATATACCATTAAATCACATAATTTCTAATAATCATAAAACATTAATCAATTTCTGATTCAGCCACGGATAAGGCCTTCAATTCGCAGTTTAAACACAGAACATGAACAGATAATTTACCAGTCAAACAGAGAGAAATGCAATTAAACTCATATACTCAATCAATCAGTTCAGACTTTCAGTCAATCAGTCAATTAACATGCCTAGTCTCAGTTTAGCAATAAACAGTGGTGAGGGTTGTCACAATATTTCATATCAAAATCAACAATGGATAATAAAGAAAACGTTTCTAAGCAATTTTCCATAAAAAAAGTAAAGCTCTGTTTGGTAGAGCTTTTTAACTTTAATTTCACCCCTTGGTTTGAGTGTGGTGTTTGGTTACAGTTTTCAAAAGTTGATTCCACATTCACTTTGCAAACACGTTTACCTGGTCATCCTCTCGAACGTTTCCCCGGGTGTCCAGCCGGTTGACCGAAACAATGCTCTTTTTTTTGTTTTGGCACCTATTATTTTTATATTTTAAATAAAAACATTTTTGAAATTTTTTTAAATTTTTTTATGAGCTTTGAATAAAATTTTGGGTTGTATGTTTGGTTATGAGTTGTACGTTTTTTAATCAAATATCATATGGCACATCAAAAATTTCAAACTCAATTCAAAACTCTTTTCAAAACTCATAACTAAACAAATTTTCTACACTTGAATCATAATTCTAAAACTCACAAACTCAAAATACAACTCTATTTTCAAATCATAATTCTAAAACTCTACCAAGCGCTACCTAAGTTTTTAATTGTTGTTCATCATTTTTCATAGGTTGGTTTTCCAAATTGATTCAGCATTAAGTATCTGAACAAATTTCACATGTTTGTAATTAAATATCCGGACAAATATGTTTTGTTCCGTACTGAGTATCCATATGAAACAACTAGAATCAATTTTCTTGTGTTCGGTACTAAAAAACCGAATAAACTTCACATGTTTGGAATTAAGTATCTGGACAAATATATTTTATTCGATACTGAGTATCCAAATGAAACAATTGGAACCATCAACATGCCATGATCAATAAATAAAATGTAAATGTTGTTTTGGTAAACTAATAAAATCACAAAATATGAGGAAAAAAAGAAAAAAACAACATAGCAAACAAACAAACAATATAAACCATAAATTCAATATATATGTTAATAGATTATATTGTTCAACCCC